TTTTTAACCAAAGTACAGGTGTTTGTATTAAAATTTGTAATAGCCTATAGCCTAAATTACTGAACCGATTTTGACGATTGATGTGTCATTCGATTTGTCTTCCTCTTTAGAGTGTCATGGAGTATGTCATAATAACACAAAACACCTGCAATTGACATGAGAACTAAAATTCTTTTTAGTATGCATTTTATCCAGTCTTAAACTGCGGTCTTTTATAATTTGACTATATCACGGTCTTTATTGAATCTTCTAGTATTAAATTATGCAATGGTCTTTCCGGTTTTTCCATCCTATCATATCGGTCTTTCAGTCTTTTGCAGCCATTGGCGTTCGTATATGTTCTTCGCGGAGTCGGTACTACGACCGAAGTCTTTTGTCGCGTCATCATGTCCTTCCTGGCAGCAGTACAGCAAGGGGGAATGTGCTGATGCTCCCAATGTCCACATGGGATATGGAACTGATACCAGGTATGGGAACTTTCACACGAGGACAGGCAGAGTACAGTGCAGTAATGCAATAATATAGAAGAGTGCTTTGTATAGAAGTAAATAAGCATCTTCTGTTAGAAAAAGATAATGTTTTTCAACTAATACATCTAATTTCAGGGCCCGCGGCAACTATTTCCTGATGACGCATAAAAATTCACCTTACTCGATAGAATGAATATAATACTCGTAGATAATAAAATAATTTAGTTTTAATTGTATTTTTTATTCCGAAGAATCATCGTAATATAAATTGGATGGATGGATTTTACTATCTATCTCCAAAACGACTTAACTCACTGAAAATCAGTTATAGAACAGTCTAGAAGAACACATATAGTACTTTGAAAATATTTCTTAATTCCGAATGGACAATATCAGGCGGAAAAAGCTTGTTTACACCCTACATAATTTTCATAGAGCCAAGGCTTTTTAAATATGACACAATAAAGCAATTACTTATATAACACATTTTCATACAATAATCATCCTTACAACTAACAAAATAAAGTCCATACCTGTATAAATGCTGTGGATGTAACAAAGAGCCTAGGACCAGAGAGCTAAGGTACACGGGTCTGAGTAGACAGGCCAGCAATGACCCTTGAAGGCCCACAACGCACCAACGCGCCGCTTTGTCCGAACACGACATTGTTAGGAGACGTTCGCCCTACGATAGGTTTGTGTTTTACAGTTGGCAGTTGGTATTTTACAATTGAAAGTTGGTATTTTACAATTGAAAGTTGGTATTTTACAGTTCAAAGTTGGTGTTTTACAGTTCAATGGAAGATTTTACAGTTAAAGTTTGGTGTTTTACAATTGAAAATTCATCTTTTGAAACTTTTGAAATTGCAATTTTAAAATTAAAAATCGTTATTTTACATTTCAATGTTGATGTTTTACAATAGAAAGTGGACTTTTACAGTTAAACAACAATAAATTAAAATGGCACATGTCAAAGTTTTACCACCAAAAGTTGTATGTAACAATATGAAGGTTCAAAAAGGGTTTTGTTGATTAAAAAGTCCATACAACATACCTGTAAAACTCCATCCCATGTCTGTACCACATTACTGCTGTTTTTAACAGGTATGGTCCCTTCACCTGATTCTATTTTAGTCCTTAATTGACCTCGAGCTAGCCTGTTAAAATAATATTTAATATAACTCTAACAGATTGTCAAAAAAAATTACGAGATATATAAAAAAAAAATTCATTTTTTTCACCCTTAGGATTCCATCCCTCCCACTTTTATAATCTGCCTTTATATCACTTTAACCTATCCTCTCCTTAGTCTACTATCCAGCTCAGACTTGGTCTAGACTAGACAGCAATGTGACTTCACTTCACCCTATACCCGTACTCCTGTTACTATATCCCCCTGCTCACCTATTTAGGAGACTATCCAGCTCAGACCTGTTGTAGACAGCGGTCAATATGAGAATGCCACTCTAGCCTAAATTCGCCAAATAGGCGAAGTGACCGTTGCCCATTGACATTCGCAAAAGCAGATGCGTTACCTAACCTAATTGTCAGTAGAGGGGACACATAGGAACTGGAAATTTCGCCTTCCTATGCGTCATCTCCGAAACATCCAATTTTCATTCTCTCACCGGTTTCTTAGAGTAGTCAGTAGTGATTGACTACACCACTTTAGCCTATATTCCCCTTATCCCCCTACCGTCCTAGTTTCACTATACCACTCTCCCCCTACTCATCTATGGTGTATATTCAGCTCAGACTCAGTTACTTGCTAGACTAGACAGCAATGTGCCTACAGCACGCAAGTCTATCATACCCTTACTCCCGTAGTTTCCTATACCATTCTCCCCCTGCTCACCAATGTCTATCTAATTTAGAACTGTTGTAGACAGGAGTCATTGTCACTACACCACTTTACCCTACCATACTCTTTCTTCCGTTGTTTTACTATACCATTTTCTCCCTGCTCACCTATTAGGGTGTCTATCCAGCTCAGACTTATCGGTCTAGACTAGACAGAAATATGCCTACCCCACTTTATCCTACCCTACTCTTACTCCCCTAATTTCTTATACTATTTTCCCCCAGCTCACCTATTAGGATGTCTATCCGACTCAGACTCATCGGTCTAGACTAGACAGCATTGTTACTACACCTCTACCCTACCGTACTCTTACTTCCATAGTTTCCTAGACCATTTTCCCCCAGCTCACCTATTAGGATGTCTATCCAGCTCAGACTCGTTGTTCTCATGCGGGCTGAATATCCTCCCGTCGCCGCAAGGGGCAGTGCTCACGTACAAATGTACACTCCTATTAGGTTTTAACTGATATCCACCAGTTGATATTGGTTCAATATCAGAATCTTCTATACATTGCTTTGGATCTGGATTGGGAAATAATCTCTACTTTATAAATGCGAGTTTGGATGGATGGATGTTTGTAGCCTAACTGCTGAACGGATTTCGATATTTGCTATAGATGTAAAAGGTAGTCAGAAAGGACAAATAGGCTACTCATTTTTGATTTTCTTCTGGATTTTTTTTTGAAAATTTGCTTTTTTGTAACTCAAAAACTACTTGACCGATTTGAAAAATTCTTACACGATTAAAAAGCTACGCTATCACTGAGTAACATAGGCTATATTATTTATTTTGCATGCAAACGAAGTCAAGAGCAAGTTACTTTAAAATCAAGTAAATGTCATGAAATGTGGCGACTTAATTTTTTCACTATTATGTGTTCTTTCAAATTATTCTAGTTTTAGAGATATGTCCAAACATCCATCCATACAAATATTCGATTTAATTTATAAATAACATAACTTACCCTTCGCTGAAGCGTATAAAAGTAGTTGAGAATATAAATATCTTTGCAAACAACGCCTTGCTGCTACCTGGAACAAATCATACTAACATTATATGCGAAAGTTTAGATGGATGTTTGTTAGAGTTTCTAGCCTAAACTGCTGAACGGATCTCGACGAAATTAGTCTGGAAGCACACATAGGCTAATTACTTCTGGTTTTTTTTCTAATTCCACGCGACGAAGTCGCAGTTACCTAGTATTTATGTAATACCCCAAAATACATATTAAAATACAACTGTTTACGTTAAAATTATAATTAACTAAGAACACAAATAACAAAGTATTTGTCATTGGCTTATACAAACTTGCTTCTTTACTTGCCTTGTAGTGTTTGTCGCTTTCTAGTATCGCTATTTTTCCAATTTATTCACCCCCTAAATATAATAGCTTGAAAATATCTAGCCTATAGCGTGTAGTAAATGTAGGGATTTTTATTAAAGAAAGAATTATTCAGAAATATACTGTGATTGTTGACATCCTAGGCCACAAAGTGTGTTTACGTATAGATAATAAGAGCGTCGGTAGCTCAATGGTTTAAGCACTTGACTTGCAAAAGCTCTTGGGTTCGAATCTCCCCATTAATTTTGGGTTTTTTAGAATTTCCCACGTACCCGACCTGAAGGAAAACATCGCGATATCTGTGAAGAAATTCAAAGATATATATGAAATCGCAGTGTTTGTCAGTCACTAACTTAGTGTCCCCCCTTAGTGGGGATGAACTGGTGATAGTTTTATCATTCTCATTCACTCATTCTCTCGTTATACTCACCTCAGCATGACAATCATTCAATGCCAATCCTTTTACTGACATATGCTCTCCGGAAACACATTTAGTACCAGTGGTTACTGCTATTACCTGGAAATTAAAAAAATACGCCTAAAAGGCCTGTTGATATATAGGATGACACAAAAAAGCTTGCATCCGTTAAGATCATCCTGTATTCCTACAAACATCAGCTACCGTTCAATAAAAATCGGTCCACTAGCAGCGGAGTTATGCCGTAACACACATAAAAAAAACATACAGACGAATTGAGTACCTCCTTCGTTTGGGAAGTCGGTCAACAATTTTGCCCGAATGAAATTAAAAAAATAATAAAAAACATAGGCTATGTTACTCAGTGATAACGTAGCTTTTTAATGGTGAAGGAATTTTTGAAATCGGCCCAGTTGCAATTTATTTCAATACATACAAAAATACAAATCTTTATTAGTATAAATAATAGATATTATATTACTATTCTCACTTTAGCGCCTTCTACACCGTTGTCTATGGTAATCACGATGCCAGCGAGAACCTTCCGTTTAGGATGCACGAGGTTGTTGCGAACCATCTCTTGAAACTTATCGTTTACCAACCTTAAAATAAATTTTACAACTAATAGTTTTACAACCTGTAAATAAATTTTACAACTAACAAATAATAGTTTTACAACCTGTAAATAAATTTTACAACTAACAAATAATAGTTTTACAACATGTAAATGTTTAAATAGTTGCAAATAAATGTTTTACAACTTGTAAATAACAATTTTACAACTAATAATTACAATTTTTACAATCTACAAATGTTTTATAGTATCAAATTAATTTTACAACTTACAAGTATGTTTTACAACTAATAAATGAAAGTTTTACAACCTGTAAATAAGTTTTACAACTTGCAAATAAAATATTTACAACAAGTAAAAGTTTGAAAGCAAACTATCTGTTGGTTTAGCTACAAACATATTTGTAGCTCAAGAATCAACAATGACTGATTACACTCTGTCTACCCCTGTCTTACCTAGCGACGTGATCCGCAAGCAGTTGGTTGAGGGGCGCAGTGGGCATAGGGTGCTGCTGGTGACCCCGCGACTCCCCCAGCTCGGCCAGAGCAACACGAGCTGCCGCTACTTTAGCTAACTTCTTACTTGAACCTATTACAGTTAACTTGAAAACTTATTTAGCGAGTTCAGATATTGCTTAACTTGACAACGTTCACAAGTTCTAAGAATAAGTGTAATTCCTATTTGTAATCCATACTTAATACTAACTGTTCTCGTGTTTCATCCGTATGGAATTGTAAAATCTTTATCTCATTGTTTACAATTGTCAAAATTATTCTTTTACAAATGTCAAAATCATTCTTTTACAAATGTCATAATCATTCTTTTACAAATGTCAAAATTGAAATGCATATTATGAAGGACTTTGCCATTTGACAATTACCGTTACCAGCAATTATCCTTCTTTGCTATTGGCTTGTAGTTTTTGTCCCTTTCCGGTTTTTACCAGTTTATTTACCTCCTAAGTTCAATAGCGTGAAAATATATAGCCTAAAGCGTGTCGTAAATGTAGGGATTTTTATTAAAGGTTATTCGAAAATATTCTGTGTTTACAGACATCCTACGCCACGAAGTAGTATATGTTTACGCTTTCTTACTAGCTGTTCCTGTGCGATTTCATCTGCTTAAAATTATTTTATTGTTTACATGTGTCAAACTGTCAATTGCAAATGTCAAAATGACATGACATTACAAAACTTGCTTTCTTGATGTTGGCAGCAACTTATGGTCTCTTTCCCACATTAGGGTTTTTATTCAAAACCCCCTAAGTTTAATGGCGTGAAAATATATAGCCTAAAGCGTGACGTAAGTGTATGGCTTTTTATTAAAGAAACTATTCAAAAATATGCTGTAATTGCTGACATCTTAGGCAACAAATAAGTGTGTGTTTACGCTTTATTATATTATATAGTATAGATAGATATAGAAATATAGTTAAGTAGAAATTAACATACATACAAACCCATACAAAGTGACTTGTAGTTTAACTTACCATATCCTTCAAATCTATATTCTTTTATCTTGCAAATAACTTTAAAACGCATACTATGACTTAGATGTTGAGGCGCTGAAAAAAAAACGCCTTTTAAACAATCGATAATTAAGAGTACTAGTGGTTATCCGTGACTCCGTCTGCATAAAAACGCTATGTTTTAAATTTCATCAAGATCCGTTCAGCATTCAAACTAACACCATCACTAGCTCACTATACGTCCCCACTAAGGGGGACCCTAAGTGACTAGGACAACAACCACACTGTTTTCCTTCACCGGAATATCCGGTAAATTTGAAAACTAATTGGGATTCGAACCCTAGACCTGTAGACAAATTAAGTACTCAAACCACAGAGCCACCGACGCTCCCAACAAAAACATCCATCTATCTAAACTTTGACATTAGTAAACTAGCTGTTCCCGTGCGGCTTTATCCGCATGAAATTGTGATTTTTTTTGTTTACATTTGTCAAATTATCAATAGCCAATGTCAAAATGACATGACATGACAAACCTTAGCAATCTTTCTTTCTTGATGTTGGCAGCAACTTATGGTCTCTTTCCCACATTAGGGTTTTATCCAAAATATTTAACTATGTTTAGTGACGTGAAAACATGTAGACTAAAGTGTGACGTAAGAATAGGGCTTTTTATTAATAAATAATTATTTAAAAATATGGTGTAATTGCTGACATCTTAGGTAACAAAGAAGTGTGTGTTTACGCTTTATTATAATAGTATAGATAAACTTACCATACTCAGAGTCCAATGAAGATCCATCACCGTAAGTGCAAATAAAACTCAATCCAGGATAATTCTCATATAACAGATTTATAGGACTTTTATTGGCCGATGTTATTTTTGAACCGAAGAGAGACGTTGATGGTGAACATAATGGTGAACCAGGGTTGTCTGTTCCTAAAGGGGTATTACAAAAGATGTACAAAAAAAATCAATTTTTTATTAAAAAATCGATTTTGTAACAATGTTTTTGGCATTTTAAGGTTGTAACTTGGGAGGTATTATTTCTTGCGGAAGTTCCGCACATGCGGATGCGGAATGGTGTTCCGTTACAACCCTACCCTATTTGATAATTCCCTTCCCA